TAATTATACTCATCCACCATTAATACTACGTCCTATATCTGCTGGTGAAGGTTCTCAGTCATCCAGGTCATAGTCATTCAAAAAAAGTTATTCTAAAAATCCACTGGACTTTATTTCCAAGTTTGAAGATGTTTCTCTTCCCATCCAGGAAGCTTTTTCAATTCAAAATGTCAGGAATGTGGTTGGGCTCGAGGCTTTATACAGTAGCCCAACAAAGCCTTATTTTTGTTTAGAAAACATGCAAATTGAAACGGATGAACGGGTCCGCCCCTTTGGAATGGGGGTCGTTTGGGTTCTTTTGTTGGCCTGCAAAGCCTGATACCTGTCTATGTCTGAAAGAGACATAGACGGGTGTACAAGCTGCCGAAGACACAGACGTCCATCCCCGTAAACACTGGGACTCAATGGGAAAGGAAACGATTCTGATTTCAACCGTTGCGTATATTAGCTGCGACATATGAATCAAGATGCTATGACCGAAATAATTTGATTGACAGATGACCGTTGATATATAATTGGTTGAATTTAGGTGTTCAGGCTGACGTATAACTAACTGGCCAGAATAAGATAACAAAAAAAAAAAGATTTTAAGACAGAAATAGAAATAGATATAGAATAGAAATTTTCTAAATTTTAGGACAATATAGTCTGATATAGAGTACATTTATATACACATTTAAGCCAGAATGATTTGACATTTAAATATGACTTCCCTACTATTTTAAATCCCAAAAAAGTGTTGAAATAACCCTCTATAAACTGTCCTACTCCATTTATGTCTGACATTTTCACTATCTAGATACTATAATGCTTCCATGTTTACATCATTGCTGGTTTTGTTAATCCTGCACCAAGCCTAAAACCTAACTAAACCCAACTGTAGATTATTTTGCTGGTCCAGCTTCATCACAAAGAAAGCAAATATGAAAAACTATTAAGCTAGATATAATTTAAGGACAAGCTTAACTGTTGAGCACTCTTGATCATATCATCTGCTGACTGTCTTGCAAAAATAAAATCAAGAATAAGCACCAGGTGCAGGGAAACCAGCCCCCCTTACAGGCAATTCCAACCCTACTTACACAGAGCACTGGAACTGGGTCGGTACCACCCATTAGAACCGGTCACAGGCTGAAAATTCGGATCCTAACCCGGCCTTTAGGAATAAGTCTAAGTAGCTAAAGCTCCCAGCTACACAGAGAGTGATGATACATCACAGTTAACGTTGTGCTATTGGGTTTGTAGGTAAATATAAATAGCAAAAATACTTGTGGTGTCTTTCAGATGTTTAGCAACATTTAACTGGTTAATGTCATGTTCTTATGCGCACACGGTGGGTGACAGAAAATGTTCAATAAGAGCCAGTGACACGTCGCACTGATGATGCTAACTGGCTAATGTTGTCAAGGATGCAGAGGCCGCTGCCTTCGGGTCTGTCAACCGTCAACACCCCCTCCCCTTACACCCTCCACCCTAGAAGGGCGTCAAACACGGGACAATTACCGTCATGTTGGGACGACAGAGGGGAACCCTCGGCCTCCTCGGCCATGGTTTGGTGAGGGAAGCTTCAGACAGTTAACAGAGATGGAAAAACAGATAGGAGCGCCCAAGAAAACAAGCTAACATCACATCTGCTGTGAAGCTAGAGATGTCGGAAATGAAGACTTTCCGGTTGGAATTTCATAATAAAATGAAAATGTAGACTTGGGGAAAGTTTTAGGTGTCGGGGATACTTAATACAAGCTTGAGCAAAAGCATATTTGATCTAATCCTACACAAAAGCTATTTATTTAATTTTTAAGAAGTCTATTATGAACGTGTAATGGGCATTTGTAAATATATGCATCGTCAGTGTTTTATTTTGAAGGAAATATTCGCATTTCCTGTTGCATCGTTACCTTCCAAAAGAAAAGTAGAAGGGAGATGCTTTTAATATACGTAGACCGGAAAAAGCGAATGCAGCACTTCCTGCACTACCGTGTAGAAACTACATGCGTCATCTCGTCCGCCATGTTGAGAGTGTCATTTTCGTCAGATACAAACGCAGCTGTTTCCAAAAATGTAATTTTCCGATTACAATACAAACATTTTAACTTTGAATAATATCTGAATATCAATAGAAGACAGAACAAACTCGCTTCTTTTTCTTTTCAAACAATATCAGTCTGAATGTTATCCTCATTGTGATTTTAATCGTATTATGTTTATTATGACGAAACAAAGTTTTTGTGGCCACGTTTTTGGAGTTCAGTTTTATTTGTATGCAATATTTCATAAGGATAGGGCTCTTCTGTTAATTGACATCAAAAAGTAAAACGTTTGATAAGTCACATGTTTTTGTACCCTCATACTGCCATCTTTAAGAAGATTTCAGTTTTTTTTTCCTCCTTATTTGCAATGTCTGTTTTCTTGGGCCAGACATTCTAACCATATAGGTTAGATGTGTTCCAAAAAAGTTAAAAAACAATCCACTGGATTTTGTTTCCAAGTTTGAAGATGTTTCGCTTCCCATCCAGGAAGCTTTTTTAATTCAAGTTTCAGAAACATAGACAGGTATGTCTGTCACTACAAGCATGTTTAGTGTGAGGTTCCTGCATGGTGTTGGACTGTGAACACAACCTTCATCTGTGGACCTTGGGCCCTCATACAATCCTCATGGAGTCAGTTTCTAACCATTTATGCATACACATGCACATTTGTGGTCTGCTGGAGGTCATTTTGCAGGGCTCTGGCAGTGTTCCTCCTGCTCCTCCTTGCACAGAGGTGGAGGAGGGGTCCTGCTTCTGGGCTGTTGGCCTCCTCCACGTCTCCTGAGGAACTGGCCTGTCTCCTGGTAGTGCCTCCAGCCTCTGGACACTAAGCTGACAGACAAACTTTCTTGCCACAGCTCTCACTGATGTGCCATCCTGGATGAGCTGCACTTCCTGAGCTACTTGTGTGGGTTGCAGAATTTGTCTCATTCTACCATAACTGTGAAAGCAACACTAACATTCAAAAATTTGCCAAAAAATCTGCCTGAAATAGATACGGAGAAGTGGTCTCTGGTCCCGACCTGCAGAACTACTCCTTTATTGAGTGCTTCTTCTTAATCAGCAGTAATTTCCACCTTCCTATTGGCGCAACAGCATGGGAAAATGATTATCAATCAGTGTTGCCTCCTAAGTGGATAGTTTGATTTCTTAGACGTTTGATTCAATCGAAGTTATACTGTGTTCTTTACATCCTTCCTTTATTTTCTGAGCAGAGGAGCCCTTTACTATTAATGCTGCATAGCATAAAATCCTTCAAACCAAGCTTACTTGCACAACCTTTTGCAACAAAATGCCACCAACAATAAAGTATTGGCAATGACACACCCTCTGGGTGCTCATCCAGCATTAAAATCAAGCTCTCTCATTTAAAAACATAAACAGAAAAATGTTTTAAATCATGCAACAGTGTCTGGATCAGAAGCATGCAATTCATCATAAATTTATTACAAGGTTGCAGCTGCTCATTACAACCCTGTTTTATCTAATCCCGGCAGACTGGAGGTAGACTGGCAGAAAAATGAGAGAGTTAAAAGAGGAACTGAAATTTGTAACAGCTGAAATATGTATGAACTGTGCCGCTCTGGCGTAAGTTTTATCGGGTCCATTCTGTTAAAATAATGCCTGCAGGTGGTGCAGATGATTAAATGTGATTTATTTTTGCAGAGACTCAAAATATTGTGTAGAGAATTTGTTATCTTCTGTCACTCTGACAGACTTGCAAACACCCACAAGCTGGGGTCAGTGAAGCATGGAAGAGGGTGGGGATTGTACAGCCTCAGCCCACAGGTCTCTTTACTGTAACGGAGAAAATGAGAAGCTTCTATGCAAAGTTTCTGCACATGATGACTGCTGTTGTATCATGCCATCTACTTTCATTTTGAGGTCCCTGAGCCAGACAACAGCTTTTTAAACAGCCTTGGATCCATCTGCTGGTTGACGAACAGGTAGGACAGACTATTGGATTTTTGGAGACTTTTCAGGAAAATCTTGCTTTAGATTAAAAATTGTTAACCGGATGAAAAAAAATAATAGTTTGCCACAAGAAAGGTGTGGCTAATAAAAGGGGGGTAAATATGCTGCTTTAATGGAATAATGAATAATCAATATGTGCTCTTGGAAGCTGACAGGAAGTTGTTGAAGGGTTTGGGGAGAAAAGATAAACTGAAGAAAAATGCAGTTTCATCGAATCATCAAGACGGAAATATGAGTTTCTAGATGGAATGAAAAGTTGAATATAAGCCTTCTTTCGCTTCCATATATTTGTAAAATACCAACTCTTACAGCTCAATAAAAAGCAGCAAAATGTTTTTTGAAGAAAGACATCTCTTATTGTTTTAGTGGCGGTGCAGTTGGTGTACTTCCTCCCAAAAATAGTCCCTAGAGGTTGTAAGGAGACTTGTTTCAGGCTCACAATTCAGATGCTGAAACCAAAATAACTTTAAGACTTAGTCGACACTCAAAAAGAGGAAGTGGTGAACAGTTTTCTTTCTGATCCACAGCCTGGTATACTGAAAAGCAACAGATGAAAACTTGTTAAATTCGATTGTCTTTGTGATGCTTTTTTAGCGAAGAGATTCTTTTTTTTTTCTCTCCATTTTATGGTTTGTGGTGTCCAGCAGAGATCCCATGGCCTTTCTACGCAAATACATCTGGGTGGTGTTGATACTGGTGATGATTTTTGTTTCGCTGGTCATCGGCATCATTTTTGTCTTCATCAACAAGTGTATATCCAAAAAAGGTGAGTTGAGACTCCAAGTCATTGAAATATGCGCTGACATTCTTTAGATTTTCTTTTTCTTTTTTTTTTTTACAATTTATTTGTTGTTTATTTATTAAAAACAGACATTTGTGTCACAGATTTTCTGCTTACCCTTTGAGCTATGGTATCATTAGATCAGGAATATTAAGATGTAGAATACTTTAAGTCCCACAGAAATAGGAAAGAATTTCCAGCAGCATTTACATTTTCTGTAAATGCTGCTGTGGAGGTTTTCTATTTGATAAGTTCAGATGTCGATTAATTCTAGAAAATGCCATCTGGATTCATTAACTTAACCCTTTAAAGCGTGTACTATGAAATCATTGACAGAAAACTGGCATTAAAAAAAAATAGACTTGTCATTGAACTTTCTGACAAAAGAAATAAAAAAAAAAACATACATTTTGTGTAAGTTAAATCAGATCCATTATTTGCAACAATTTGAATACATTAGGCATTTCTGTACAATGTTTTATAGTTTTTCTGTTCACTACATGTGTCTGATTATTAGAGAAGAGGATTAGTGCCACTGAGAAAAAAATGTAGCTGATTTTGAAATTTTATTTCAGTATAATTATTCTCACAATTCTGACTCTAATTTTTGAGAATTTTAATCTGTAAATTCTAATCGTGGAGGAAGAGATCGTAGTACAATAGAGAATTAGGGCAACTGAAAAAAAAAATTACAGATTTTTACGTTTTATTTTGGTATAAAATGGGGGGGGGGGGCGAATTCTGAGAAAAAGGTCAAAATTCTGAGAAAAAAGTCGGAATTCTGACTTTTCTCCCATATTATACTGAAACATCATTTAAAAATCCGTTAACTTTATTTTGGTATAAAATGGGGGGGGGGGATCAGAATTCTGAGAAAAAAAATTCAGAATTCTGACTATTCGCCCATATTATACTGAAACATAATTTAAAAATCCATAAACTTTTTGCTCTTTTTATCAGTGACCCTAATCCTCTTCCGTAGATTATGTAAGTCAAGGTTTTAAAGAACAAAAACATTGCACTGATAATGCATAGGTCCAAAAAAAACTCGTGTATCAAATATGATACACTTGGCTTTAAATGGCTAATTTTGTCTTGGGAAGTTGTTAAAATAATAACATGCTAAAAACATACCTGAGCCCTATTCCTTAGCAGCGTAGAGACTTGACCAAAGCACTTTACACTACATTCATTCACCCATTCACTCACACACTGATGGTGGCAAGCTACATTGTAGCCACAGCTGCCCTGGGGCTCACTGACAGAAGCGGGGCTGCCGTACACTGGCGCCACCGGGCCCTCTGACCACCATCAGAAGACAATGCAGGTGAAGTGTCTTGCCCAAGGACACAACAACACTGAAAGTCGGAGTCGGGGCTTGAACCTTCAACCCTTCGATTTCAGGGCAAACTTCTACATCCAACGCCATTGTCGCCCCAACATATATAAAATGATTTAAAACACATAACCTGTTAGAGATGATCAAATGGCAAAAGTAAAACATGAAAAATATATTGGATCTAAAATTACATAAAAAGGAAATAAAATACTGCAATAAAATACTGCAAAAAAATACATTTCACTATAACTAAGGATATATAAATATAAAAGTTATCCCTTTTTAAACCCACACTATTTATCATGCTCCTATTTAAATGTTATTAACAATGGATTTTTTTAATGAGTCAGTATTCCAGGAACAATAAACTTACAGTTCCTTTTAGACGATGCATCAGCAGAGGCGGATGCTGATTTTTAATCCTGGGAGGGTTTCTTCAGCACTTTATTTCACCCTAACTTTTTTTTTTCTATGCTCTTGAGTGCTAAACACCAAACTATTAGAAATATTTTAAAGGTTTCATTTCTAATAGGTTTTATTTCCCCAATCCAGCGCTACAATCAGCTATGAGGCAAATCTGGACTTTTTATCTCAACTCTGACATCATTCAGTAGCCAAACTCCTCAGTTCCAATTCTCTAAATTGTATTTATAATTAAAATGACAAGAAAAAGTGATGAACTTGTTCGACGCAGAGGCGTTGCTCTTCCTGCTTCCTCAGGCGTTTCTTTTAAATATATATTTGTATTCTGCACTGGTGTGTTTAAAGCGTAGAGATTGTTTTCCTATAATTAAAATGACTATAGAAATAAGCCACTGTTGTGGACAAGACATGTGGCAACAGTGGCTTTCCTTAATGTTTTACGTTAGTTTTCAATGATGAGATGGTTATTATTTTCTGCTTACTTAATTAAAGGTCCACAGATGAATTCACTCTGTCAATATAAAGAACATTTAGCAGACTGCAGTAAAAAAAAAAAAACATGTTTTTTTTTTCCAAAATATCATGAACCAATCAGCAGCTTGCATCAAAGCTAAGATTTCAGAGGGAAACTTTCATGGTTTCCATTGAAAAAACAGTTTTCTTTTATTTTCTGGATCGTCAAGCACTTCGAGACGATTAGTCTCGGTAGATGTGAGGAAGAGATCAGGTTGAATAAGGGGGTCCAGTAGGCTCTATAGGACCAGAACCGATTCAGCTGGAAATCACTGAGATTAAGCCATGAAATTAAAAAGGTAGATTTAATTCTCCAACAGTTTCAGCATAATGATTCACAATCAGCAAAGACTGACCCTGAAGTTCAAATCCAGCATAGCAAAGTTTAGATTTTACCTAAACTTAATATGTTTGTAAACACAATACCTAAAAGGCACCAAACATAAGTGAAGTGTCACCTAAGTGTCGTCACAACTGCATGCAAAAATCAGAATTATGCAAAAAGCTGCAAAGTTAGGCAGAGAAAGGTTATTGCTTTGATGTTTTTTTTTTTGTTTTATATACTTCATTATATCATATAGCATAAACAAAAACAGACAGCATGCCACTATGCCACTGCCTGCTATCAAAGGGTTTACAAGTCTTTTTGTTTCCAGTGAAAATGTGCTTTTTTTCCATTGAAATGTTTGCTTTAAAAGTATTTTTGCACCTTTTTTATACATAGTTTGACAGCTGTTTAGTGTTTTGAGGTAACAAGAAGATGACTGCATCAAAAAAGAAGAGATTTCCCTACCATGCTCTCATTAAGACCAAAATTATTCACTTTAATGTTGATTCTCTAAAGGGGGAAAAAATGAAAATACCTGTTGGCATCTCTAGAAATTATGTGTACAAAGTTCTTAAAACAAAATAAATGCTTTATTTACTGAGATAAAGTTTTATTATAATAAAATAATTAATCAAAATCACCTCTTGGTGTAATGGGGGGATTTACCATTAGGCAATACTAGGCAATTGCCTAGGGCCCCAAGTTCCTAGAGGCCCCATAAAACTCTGTTTACAAGTATAGTTGTATAGTTAACAACTAATCCTTCCAAAAAGTTAAAGTTAAAAAAACAAAAATGAACCAACTAATCCTTATTTGTGCTTATTAATCATGTCTTTGATAAAATGCCACCAGACCTTTTATAATATTAATTGTGTCTCAGCCCCCCCCCTTCAGTGTCCACCATATTGGATCAGTCCATTTGCTGCACATGTTCAGAAAGGTCCAAACAGACAGCAGCAAACCATTTGAAAACAAACCATGCAAAGAGCAGTGTTGCCAACTTAGCGCTTTAGTCGCTATATTTAGCCACTTTTCAGACCCCTCTAGCACTTTGATTTCTAAAAAGCTCCTAGCGCCAAATCTAGAGACTTTTTTCTGCTACTGGAGACTTTGGAGACAACATCTAAAAGCAGCGAACTCTGCTCTCCAGAGCGAGTAGATTGGTAACCCCGCCTCCTGCTCTCCTCTATCTTGTCTGCTGTCATGATTCATGCAGCTATTATTTCATCCAAATGAAAAATGGAGAACAGAGAAGCAGATCATGGCTTGTCTACAGTGAAAAGAAGGACTGGGTTATTTACTTTGGCCTTTTTGGAAACACAGGAAGGAGCAATCAGCTAAGTGAGCTTAGTGCTTGGAAAAAATCTTTCATTCCTTTAGAGACAGCATGAAAAGTCAGCTGAGTACAAAACATAGAGAGGAAAACAAGAAGAAAAGGGACAAGAAGAGAGGGACACAACCTAGAACAGATAATGGATGTCTATTCTATTAACATTTCTCTATCTGTAGAATGGGTCTGTTTTAAGGGTTGTCTTCTCAATTCAGAGGGGCCCCTGCCTGTCTTTGCCTAGGGCCCCAAATTTGGTGTCATGACTCAGAACAGAGGACCCAGTATTCAGGCTAGACAGACAGTGGGATTACTCAAAAGTGTTTGTTTAAAAACAGGTTGCGGATCTGCAGTAGCAGCAAGTAGGGCATCTGAGGCAGGAAACTCTAGGGAGAGGAAACACAGGTTAGTGACCAAAGTGACATACATCTAACTGAGGAACATTATGAACGTGAGTCACTAACCTGGTTTACAAGTTCAGTCCATGCCCAGAGAACAAGGTAGGATCTAGCCAGTGGGCTGCCAACAAGATGCTGCCCAGTGTTTCCCAGACACTGCAGCCCTGAAAGAACAAGCAGGAGTCCGAAGCTAGGTCAGGCAAACAGGTCAGAACAGGAACAGACAGGCTCAGAGGTCCAGGAATTCAAAGAGAGTTCAAGCAAACCGTTCAGACGGGAACACGCAGGCTCAGTGGTTGAGAGGCAGAACAGGTCAGGATCAGGAAATCAGAAACACAAAAAACTCTAAAAACACTCTCACCACTGGCTAGAGAGAACAAGACAATCTGGCACTGATGACTGGATTCAAGCACCTTAAATAGAGGCAGGAGCAGGTGGATCAGATGAAAGGTAATGAGCAACCGGGCAGGGTTAGACAGGTGAATGAAATAAAGTAAGCCAGTCATCAGTGCAAAGATCATGACACTTGGTACAATTATTGACGTACATAATTCCCTAAAAAGGTTGTTTAATTTAATAATCTTCTTTTATACTTTATTTGCCAAATTTATTTTGGCCAATATATTCTATTATATTCCTGGTGTTTCTGTTTTCTGTCCAGTTCCCTGCTCTGCCCCCCACCTGCAGCCTGTTGTTAACTAGACTCCTCTGTTTTGCATTATGTAATCACCACCTTATTATGCAGAAGCACCTGTTTTTATTCACTAATTGTCAGTTCCTTCTATTATCTATTTCTATAATCCCAGAGGCCTCTTCTTTTTAGAGACCTTTTTTGATGATTAAGATCTCAGCATCACCTGCCCTCCCACCAGGTATGACTTCTGTTGTACTTGAGTCATCAGGAAACAACCATGACTTAAATCTTGCTTATTGTTTCTTTTTTTTTTTAGATTTTCTAGTATTTTTCATTAGTAATCTAATTCTTACCAAAAAAGTATCAATGTGAAGTGACACTGAGGTCAGTTCCTCTTCACTACTGACAAATATAGACCATACAAGGACTTCAGTTTATCTTCTCACCACAGACAATGAGCAGGATGTTGGAGAACAACAGCAAACAGAGACATCTGGGTCAATGAGTCAGATAGTCTCCATAGAAGCACTTCTACAGAAGGGATTCATCGTGCATCAAATCAGCCTTCTTCCAATATCAAGTCAGCCTTCAGAGAAAAATCCTGCAGTGAAACTGAACAAAGGAGAGCATAGCAGAGGATCCAGAGCTCTGGAGGATCAGAGAAACTGTGGATAGAGGAGAGGTCAAAGAGCGCTTTGTCTCTAGCATCTGTGATCTATGTCTAAATATACATTTTTTCACTCTCTGAATATATTTTTTTAATTAAAGGCAGCATTTTTCTTAACTTTTAAGAATTAGTTTATTTTAAAGTAAAATAAAATACTAATTTATTTTTAGAAATTGTTAATAATCCAACAGAGTATCATTTAAAAAATTATTCATCTGTTGGAGAGGTTAGGACCATTTTGTAAAACATGGCTGACCCTTTGTGTTAGGGACTGAGCCAAAAAATCTGAGAAGCACAGGGAAGTCATTGAGAAAAGAATGGCAACGAATCTATTTAGCAAAAAGAATTTAAACTTCTAACAAAAGGAAAACTAAAGAAAAAAAATCAATGATAGTTTAAATAATTAAACTTCCCAAATGCAATTACAGAAAACAAAACCAACTAGAGAAACCTCTACTAAAAATAAGAAGTATATTAATTTACAGTAAACCAAACGAGCAAGAAATAACAAAATGAGTCAACTAAATGTGTGCGCCATCCAAATAGTCAACCAACATCAAAGCAAAGTAAAAAAAAAAATGAATTACAGTAAAATATAAAAGGTTTATTTAAATGAAAAGAATTTGTTGTGTGGTTGCACATGCGGCCATCACACTTTGACTCTTTTAAAGGCTTTTAAATTAATACCAAGTTGATGTACAAACAAGGAATATGACTTTGCTTTCCAACAACAGTATTAAGATTGTACTATAAGCAGAAATACAGTTTATTGCTTTACAGTTTAATTTAGACTGCGGCACTGCAAAAATTATCCAATCCACTTTATTTATATAGCACATTTAACAACAGAAAAAGTTTCCAATGTGCTGTACATAACAAATAATAAACAACAACACAATACAACAATAAATAAACTAAAAAGGACACAGAGGACCACACAAACTATGGAAGCAAATCGTTATATATTTAAAATGAAAAAGCATTTTCAGAAATTCTTTTTCATTTTAAGAATGTGGCTGCATTGTTTGGCTCATAAATGAATTTAGTAATTAATAATCCTGTTTGCATTTTCATGTTCTTGTTTAACGCTGCTAATCCTTTTACTTAATTAAAATTAAAAAGAAAAAGACATTTGAGATTTATTTTTCAAAATTTACCCCAGCAAATACATACCAAAATTCAATTTGAAATGTAAAATTTGAAAATGAAAAAGCATTTCTGGAAATGCTTTTTCATTTTATATATGGTAACGATTTGCCTCCATGACAAACTACACGTATTTAAAAGCCAAAGAGTAAAAGTGGGTCTTAAGACGAGACTTAAAACACTCCACCGTAGAGGCAGTCCGTATATGGAGGGGCAAAGTATACAGTAACATCTGTTGTATAAAGTAACTACAGAAAAGGCTCTGTCCCCTCTGGTTTTAAGCCTCGTCTTAGGCACTGTTAGCTGAAGATGGCCCTCAGACCTCAGAGAACGTGGCTGAGAATAAATCTGGAGGAGATCAGTGATGTATTGAGGAGCCATCCCATTCAGGGCTCTAAACACAAACAATAAAATCTTAAAATCAATTCTAAAACGAACAGGGAGCCGGTGCAAGGACGCAAGAACTGCTGTAATGTGTTGATGTTTTCTGGTCCCTGTTAAAAACGAGCCGCTGCATTTTGGACCAACTGCAGACGGGAGAGAGCTCGGTGGCTAACGCCTTAATAAAGTGCATTGCAGTAGTCCAGACGGCTAGAAATAAAAGAGTGTAAAACCTGCTCCAAGAGGTTAAAAGATAAAAAACTGTTTTACCTTAGATAAAAGACGGAGATGATAAAAACACGATTTTAAAACGCTATTTATTTGTTCCTTCAGTTTAAATGGTGATACCAAGGCTGGTTACTTTGGAACGCATAAAATGCTTGAAAGTCAGAGATGGCACTTCCAAACACCATGACCTCTGTCTTGCTCTCATTAAGCTTCAGAAAGTTTTTTGACAGCCAAGCCTTGACATCACCCAGACAGTCAAGAAGGGGTGTCAAGGGGCAGTGGCTGTTTTTAGCAATCGGCAAATAAAGTTGACAGTCATCAGCATAGAAATGGTACGCTATACAAAGTTTGATAAAAATCTCTTTGAGAGGAAGGAGGTAAAATGCAAACAATAAAGGTGTCATGATTTTCTTAAGAGATCAGACCCACATACAGTAAACCACTCAGGGAACCAGGGTAAAAGTTTAAACAGGTTTATTGATAAGGTCACTCAGTGTGCTGGTGAACCGGAACTGGAAGAGGGAAGGGAAGTATCAGCGGTTAGTTCAGGATCCGTGGGAACTTTGAGCGATGGCTGGAGAGACAGAGAAAACGGGACTTACGTCGGTTGAGAAGACCTCTTCACCCAGAATCCAGCTAGTGTGGGTTTATCCAGAGGTAGAAACTCGTTGGAGGGCGGACAGGTTAAGACTTGGTTGGATCCTAAGGAGCTTTTCAGCAGACTGTCACTTGGGAATCCAGGAGGACTTGAACGGAAGTTGTGGAGGTTTAACCCCCGGCTCAGTGTGAGACTCAAACAATCCTTACAGGGGAAGAAGGCCAAACATCCAGCTTGCAGGAAGGCTTCCTGCTGAAGAGGCAAAGACAAAAACAACATTAGGCTTATTGAAAAAACAAAGACTCAGTTAGACTCAGCAAAACACAGCTTGGCTAGAGTACCCAAAACTGGCAAACACTCTGGCGTCGAAGTAGTGATAGTCCACCGCTCAAATAGTCCTCAGTAATGAGCCCACCAGCCGCAGGTGTGTGGGAGGACCAGCGAGAACAACCCACACAAACTGGATTCCATAACACAAGGTCCCAGGATATAACCCTGAGGGACCCCACAATAAAGGGGGGCAGACGATGACGTGGAGTCCCCCAGCCTGACAGAGAAAGACCTCTCTGACAGGTAGGACCTAAACCATTGGAGAGCAGTCCTCTGACACCCACCAAGTCCCTCAGCCGGTCTAAAAGAACTGGGTGGTCAACTGTGTCAAAAGCAGCAGTAAGATCTAAAAGCATTAAAATGGCTGAACTAGAATCAGTTGTTAAAAACAAATCAAAACAAAGCAAAGGTTGAAATAAGTCAACCTTTCATAGATTAACTATATTTACTCTTAATTTGATTAGGTAAATAAGATGATTTGCCAATGTAATTTTTATTTTTACTCCTGATTTCTAGATTTTTTTTTGCAGTGCATGTTCCCCTTACACCACATATAATAATCCAAAACAGGAAGCAATGAAACCAAATATTGTTATTCTATGTCTGCTTCTGTCTCCTTGAATCCCAGTGGGCCTCAGCAGATGGCCGCTCACACTGAGCCTGGTTCTGCTGGAGGTTCCTTCCTGTTAAAAGGGAGTTTTTCCTCTCCACTGTCGCTACAAGCATGTTTAGTGTGAGGGATTGCTGAAGAGTCAATGAGTCGCTGCATTTAACAGAAAACAATCAACTGGTTTTCCTTAGATAGAAAACTTTGAATCAATCTGACTGGATGGTCTGGTGAACTGGAAAGTGCCTTGAGATGACATGATGTGAATTAGTGCTATAGAAATAAACTAATAGAATTTAACCTGAATTATTGTCAAAAGTACATCTGAGGTATTCCCTGTAACCTGAAATAAAAGTTATGCTATGAAATGCTAAGAGAACGCACTCTGCTTAAGAGAACAAATCAACCAAAAGCAAACAAGAGCAACAAACTTCTGAAAAATTCAAATGTTTATCTAATAAAAGTAAATAACAAACTGTTTTTTTTAATGTTGTAGAGGTATAAGTTTATTTTTTCGCAAAGCTTCAAAATAATTAACCATTTATTTCGTGTTTCTTGTTATTTCGATATAGTACTTTTTGGCTCACTGCAGTTTTATTTATATTTATCACGCACATATGTTTGGACTTTTATCAGATAACACAAATCAACCCCATCCAGTGTTTCATGCTTTTGAGAAATTTCCTGTTTCTGTTTTCTAAAGTTTGATTTAAGTTAATTTTCTTTCTTTTTGCAGGGAGACATCGCATTTTACAGCTTCAGGGAAGATCTGACGGCAGAGTCGAGTATGCATTCTCATACAGGTTTCTCTGAATAATAAATGCACCTTCTTGTTTGAGATCTACTGAGCAGGAAACCTTTTTGACGCATCAGTTTGAGAACTGGACGAGAACAGTGACTGAAAACAGCTTTTTTTCCTCAATACCAATCAAAATATGTTGACCTGCAGCCTCTGAAAAACGCTAAAATCATTGCAACAAACATGTGTTCAAGATGGTGGTTATTTCAGTAAAGAGCTAGAACTATTTATTACATAATATTCTTACTGTTTAATATTTTTGAACTAATAGGCAGTGCTTTTTAATAATAACCTGGAGTCATAAATACTACCAGATATTAGCCCTCTCTGTGCTAAACGGTCACTGATGAAGAAAGCGGCGTGTGAAGCATAAACCACAATATGACTGAGCTATTAGGATGCTTCCTTTTAAGATGGTTTGAGTGAAGCACAATAAAAAGACTTCCTCAAAAAATAGACAGCGGCCAAACCATAAGCTCACTAATCACCTATATTCTACTCTTTTAGCTCTTTGATTTTTGTTTATGTAATCGCATTTATTTTAGTTGAATTATTTCTGCTTTTTGTTAGATTTCATTTGCAGATATGAAGTTGCTTAAAAAGATTTTATATAACTCAAACGTTTTAAATTTTATTACATAGAAAAACAAAAAAATGTATTGTGAAACATTAAGTTTTGGGGTTTTCATTTCGATCTTTTCCTCCCTGTTTGTGTTCAGAAAGTAAACTTAAACATATATTTAAACTCACAAATAACAGAACAAAGAAAAAGAGACTAAACATACAAAGATATTAACTTTAACACCGTATCAGCAACATTGCATGTGAGGAAATTTAGTGAATGTGACATGACATGGAACATAAATAAACACAAGTAATAATAATAAAATCCAAGCACCTAAGGACCATTTAGGAGAGTTTGAGCGTTTGTCTCTCGTACTGCGTATGGGAGAACTTAAAAATCTACAGACGGATTTTAATGCAAGTTTTATCAGAGGTGTCCCTCATGCTGAGGAATAATCCATAAAATTTTGGTGATGATCCAGATCATAATCTGGATACAGGATCTTTTTTTTTTTAAAGATTCTCTAACATTGTGAGATAGGGATATTTGGTGGAACAAGCAGTTCCCCACCAAACCAGAGGGTGGCAGCAGTGAGTAATGACAGCCTCAGCATCGGACTCAAAAAGTCTGGCGGTATTTTACTGGAGAAAAACAATACAGGTGCTGGTCATAAAATTAGAATATCATGAAAAAGTAGATTGATTTCAGTAATTCCATTTAAAAAGTGAAACTTGTATATTATATTCATACATTACATACAAACTCATATATTTCAGATGTTTATTTTGTTTAATTTTGATGATTACAAATGACAACAAATGAAAATCTCAAATTCATCATATCAGAAAATTAGAATATTGTGAAAAGGTTCAAAATTGATGGCCCCTGGTGCCACACTCTAATCAGCTAATTAACTCAAACCACCTGCAAAAGCCTTTAAATGGTCTTTCAGTCTAGTTCTATAGGCTACACAATCATGGGGAAGACTGCTGACTTGACAGTTGTCCAAAAGACGACCATCGACACCTTGCACAAGGAGGGCAAGACACAAAAGGTCATCGCTAAAGAGGCTGGCTGTTCACAGAGCTCAGTGTCCAAGCACATTAATAGAGAGGCGAAGGGAAGGAAAAGATGTGGTCGAAAAAAGTGTACAAGCAAGAGAGATAACCGCACCCTGGAGAGGATTGTGAAACAAAACCCATTCAAAAATGTGGGGGAGATTCGCAAAGAGTGGACTGCAGCTGGAGTGAGTGCTTCAAGAACCACCACACACAGACGTATGAAAGACATGGGTTTCTGCTGTCGCATTCCTTGTGTCAAGCCACTCTTGAACCACAGACAGCGTCAGAAGCGTCTTGCCTGGGCTAAAGAGAAACAGGACTGGACTGCTGGTGAGTGGTCCAAAGTCATGTTCTCTGATGAAAGTAAATTTTGCATTTCCTTTGGAAATCAAGGTCCCAGAGTCTGGAGGAAAAGAAGAGAGGCACTTCATCCACGTTGCTTGAAGTCCAGTGTAAAGTTTCCACAGTCAGTGATGGTTTGGGGTGCCATGTCATCTGCTGGTGTTGGTCCATTGTGTTTTCTGAGGTCCAGGGTCAACGCAGCCACATACCAGGAAGTTTTAGAGCACTTCATGCTTCCTGCAGCTGACCAACTTTTTGGAGATGCAGATTTCATTTTCCAACAGGACTTGGCACCTGCACACAGTGCCAAAGCTACCAGTACCTGGTTGAAGGACCATGGTATCCCTGTTCTTAATTGGCCAGCAAACTCTCCTGACCTTAACCCCATAGAAAATCTATGGGGTATTGTGAAGAAGAAGATGCAATACACCAGACCCAACAATTCAGAAGAGCTAAAAGCCACTATTAGAGCAACCTGGGCTATCATAACACCTGAGCAGTGCCACAGACTGATCGACTCCATGCCACGCCGCATTGCTGCAGTAATACAGGCCAAAGGAGGCCCAACTAAATACTGAGTGCTGTACATGCTCATACTTTTTATGTTCATACTTTTCAGTTGGCCAACATTTCTATAAATCCTTTGTTTTTATTGGTCTTCAGTAATATTCTAATTTTCTGATATGATGAATTTGAGATTTTCATTTGTTGTCATTTGTAATCATCAAAATTAAACAAAATAAACATCTGAAATATATGAGTTTGTATGTAATGTATGAATATAATATACAAGTTTCACTTTTTAAATGGAATTACTGAAATCAATCTACTTTTTCATGATATTCTAATTTTATGACCAGCACCTGTACATGTAGAGGCAAAATTGTTGATTTGTTTGCAGGATCAATTGAAAACCTATAAGCGGATTTTATGGACCTTTTTTACTAAATGTGTGCCTCATGCCAATAAACAATTCATTCAAATTTGGTAATGCTTCCTTTTAAGATGGTTTTAGTAAAGCACAATAAAAACACTTCCTCAAAAATTAGACAGCGGCCAAACCATAAGCTCACTAATCACCTATATTCTACTTTTTAGCTCTTTGATTTTTGCTCATATAATCACGTTTATTTTAGTTAAACTACTGCTTCTTTTTGTTAGATTTCATTTGCAGATATGAAGTTTCTTAAAAAGATTTGATATAACTTGAACGTTTTACATTTTATTACATTAAAAAACAAACATGTATTGTCAAACAATGTTCAAGTTTTACATTATCTATAGATACGTCACCATATGGGGCAAAGCATGCTTCTTGGGGAAGGTCTGCGCTCTCCCAGTCCTTTCCGGTGTGGTAATTATAGTAGCAGCCATTCAAAATGGCGTTTCCTAGTTAAATGCCAGCTAAATGGCAGCACACTTCCCTGCAACTCCCTGCAGAATCCCCTCCAACTGCCAGCCACTGGGGTGACCCTCTCTTGCATATTTCTTTACTCTGACTCCACCCTTTCACTGAATTACAGGGTCTGACCAGGAGATGGCGCTTATCTTTAGATCTTAATGTCCACAAATCATGACAGAAAGAATATTTTAGAACAAATATTGATGTTAAAAAGGGAATTGTACAGTACCAGTCAGTGACCAGCCAAGGACTCATCAAGGAAAGTGGGGAAATTTTAAATGGCTACTACTGTATTACTCAGCTGGTCGCCTACAGTGGAAAAACGATCTAGAAATAAGAAAGAATTTCTTAAGCTAAGTGTGTTTATCCTTAATTTGAGTAGGTAGATGAGATAGTTTGTCAATGCAGTGAGTATTTTTACTCTTATGATAAGATAATTAGGTAACATGCACTTGAAATGAGACAATGCAATTGTGTTTTCTTATTTTAAGTGTAAATTGTCTTAATACATTGGCAAAATGTCTCTTTTACCTCCTTAATCCAAGAATAAATGCACTTATTTTAAGAGAAAATGACGTATCTAGATTTGGATGTTTTCCAGTGTATGAGCAGTTTTATATTTAATGCTCTGAACCTCCATATCAATGCGTTTTTTAGCACAATGGGTTTTTTTTTCTCCCTTTACATTCAATCACTGCTGCACTTTAAGGAATGGGAATGTCATGAAAGCTATAAAAAATGAAATTTAATTTTGTATACAGTCTGTGGATACAAAATAACAACAAAAGTTGACTAAGTCTAACAAAGTTATATCTATAGTTATGAATATAGGTAAATTGAAATAGGATTTCTTATGCAGAGTTAGATAAAGTCTAATACTCACTATAGAATACTTATTAATTTAATGCATTTTTATAGTTTTGAAGGAATAGAACCATTACGGTGTTAATTCAAGGCTCATTATTTAAGATGTTATTATGACTGTTGGGTCTCAATTCTCATTATTAGCAGATTTTTTACAATTTCTTACCAAATGATAGTTCTAATGATTAAATTCATTATTTCTTTGTTCTCAATATTTTTCAGGAGCAATAAATACCTGTTGAATCATCCTGACACAGGTACACCTCCTCTCCCACCTCGGACACAGTTTCTAACCGCAGGTGAGGCTCTGCTTCCTTTCACTACAATTTATAGACACAAACCGTGGGGCTGAAAAGGCCTGGCTGAATGTGACAGTTAACCTTTTTTACAACGAACCTCAGGCCAAAACAGAAACCTGCTTATTCACCTACAGCCCAGAGCATCGAGTGACCTTTATTTTTCATTCACAAGGGTGAGAAAAACTCCCTTTTAACAGTTCTCTGGTTACAGATAGGCATGATCCACTCAAGAAACTAGACTATAGATTATAGATAAAAGCATAGACATTACTACCTAGACTAACGTGCCAATAGGGCGGCCATTTTAGGTCAGATCATAGTTCAAACAGTTGCTGTCAGAATAAATAGGAGGCGCCTCAGATCTTTTAATCACATGTAAGATGAGTCAAAGATAATATCACGATAATTCGATATAATAATAATTTGATTAATTCCTTACACGTTACAACCTTTTAAAAGACCAAAACAAATATTATAATGACCTTTTAGTCAGATTAAAAACAATTTAAACTAAAGTCTAACTGGATGAAATATATACATACAGTTACATATTGTGCAATTCTATACTAATGTGATAAACACAGTTTCATCATAAAGTTTTATATTAATATATTACAATATTAACTGAATATTATATATTTATACTGTACATTATCATTCTGTATTATCAAGGATATTACAGTGATAATTAGTATTATGACCGATAAAGGAAACTTTTTTGTAATGTGATTTACAAAAGAATATATATATATATAGTCAGGGCAGATTTATGTTCAAAGGGATTCTAATGACTACCCTATATACTTAAATGCAGTTCTATAAATAAAAAGTATTAAATTTATTTATTATATTGATAGTTCATACATATATCCTCATTCACACCTTTCAGGAATATGTTCATTTTAAGTACTTTTCTCTGCTTCCATCCCTGTGACCCATTAACACCTATTCTTTTGACACCAGAAAAACAGTAACTGTGATAAATTATAATCCTAATGAAAAGTAACTCCAGGGGATCTGGTTTGTTGTCTCCTTTTATTTGTGCATCCATAGGTGGAATAAAAGTTGGGGATCCTGAAAGGTAGCTCTGGAAGTTTGCTAACTGTCACTGCAAAATCAAAATTATGTAATAAATTAGAAAATAATTTTTATCAATCAGTTGGTCCCATGGAGCCCATGAAACATTGATGTTTTCAGTCAGACAATTTTTCTGGAAATCGGTTGAGAGTTCACTGGATTCAGAGTGTTTGAAATCTTAAAGTACCATTGACGCGTATTGTCAGTGAAGACAGCTTGGTCTGACCCAAGATGTTGGCATGCCTCTCACCTGATCACTCGGGGTCTATCGATGTCTATGCTTAAAAGGATTCAAAGCATTCACAAGACTACATTTGCTTCAGACTCAATTTTGATTGATGCCAAAAAGACTTAATGCTAGGACTAGGACCCAAATGCAGAGGCAGGGAGGTAGAGGTGAGTTTCTTGATGATTTAATGAAGAGTTAAAAAAACAACTGAGGCAGGAATCCAAAATTCCAAAAAAATATAACATGAAAACAAAGTCAAACAAACCAGAAACCATGGAAACATTGGGGGGGACGAACGAGCAGATTGGGAGCAGGTGTGAACAGAGCAGAACAGGAAAGGAGCTAGGGAAAAAGGAGAACACAAGAGGGCAGCAGAGGGCAACAAATAAAAACCTGAAAACTGAAAATAACCAGAAAACACACCAAAATGAGAATTAAACCACTAAAACTAGAAGACATGGAGCAAAATAAAAGTGAGGACTCAAAAGAAAACATACCAGAACCAAAACTGTGTCAAGGACTTGACTTGTGGTTTTAGACTCAGAGTCTGAGTAACAGTTTTCATCCATTGCTATGACGAGCAAAAGAACATGAGTTTATGTTTAACTGTGAAAATCTGTTAATGTTTCTTGTAGCTTTAGTGGATAATGACCACATGAATGTCTCACCAACTGAATATATAATTTCTATATTAAGGGACTTTTGATCATTAAGGAAGAAAATAAACCTACATTATCTCTCATCAGGTTCAAAAGGTTTTAGTCAGACCAAGAGACATTCATACATTCATACGTTACCATTCACCGTGATTTGACAAGATCTTGACACAATACATTATAACATAAAAATTACTTAGATAACAATAAAAGTATTTTGATTTTCATGAATCTGAACCTGTCTATGATTCTAGGGGTCGGTCGTTAAGACAGGTTCAGATATTACAGGCTAACGATGGAACTAAACGACCCATTCATCGGTTACCATTGCATGTTTCCAAGCAATACAAGGCCTTGTCTATATAAAGACTCAAACTCACTGCGGATCCAGACATTTGAATTGAGAAAGCTTCCTGGAGAGGTGGCGAAACGTCTTCAAATCTTGAAAACCAAGTCCAGTGGATATTTTTTGAATTTTTACGGAATGACTATGACCTGGATGACTGAGAACCTTCATCAGCAAAATAAATTGTGAAATATATAGATAGTTTTCAAAAGAGATAATGGAGGTATGTCTTATAGTTGAAAAATATATAATCGGTACAGGGTTGGGACATCATAAGTTAATGCCAGTTTATACTACTATTCTAACCCTTTCCCTAGGTTACTCATTTCAGTGAATGTTGATTCTCAGCATAAAGTCTTCTGCCGGGGCCCAAGTGCCAAAAAACTTATATTATTCATGTCAATATCTGCATCTCTACTTCTGTCTCCTTGAAGCCTCAGCAGATGGCCGTTCACACATAGCCCGGTTCTGCTGGAGGTTTCTTCCTGTTAAAAGGGAGTTTTTCCTCTCTACTGTCGCTACAAGCATGCTTAGTGTGAGGGATTGCAGAGACTCAAGGAGTCGATGCAATCAACTGGTTTTCCTTAGATGGTAAACTAAATGTTGAAAGGATTAATGACCAATGTTAAGATTGTGAAAGATGATGACTATTAATGTACATATTCTGATTTACCTCTGAGCACAAGCAATCCAGGTTTGGATTCAGGCTTAGAGATGAATGTTAGAGATTTGGAACTGGACACTGAACTGGGATAAAGAGTTTTGGTACTTGTCTATTTGCCCATGATGTATTTCTTGTCATGGCATGGCATTTTACTCCTAATACTTCTAGTAGGATGCTCTTAAGAAAGATCTCCTCATTACAGCTCAGTAAGAGTTCTAACAAAGTAAAAAAAAACAATCTACTGGACATTGTTTTCAAGTTTGAAGACGTATCAACTTTTCGTTTTCAACTCAAAATGTCAGGAATTGCTTTGAGTTTGAGGCTTTATAGAGTAGCCCAACAAAGCCTTGTTTTTGTTTAGAAAACATGCAAATTGAAACAGACAACAGGTCCACCCCTTTGGAATGGGGGTGGTTTGGCTTCTTTTGTTAGCCTGCAATGCCCCATACCTGTCTATGGCCGTTTCTAGGTCTGTGTACTCATGCGTTCTCA